CCCCCCCCCCCCCCCCCAGGCTCCCCGCACCCGCTCTGCCCGTCGGCGATGTCCTACTCGGCGATGGCGTCAACCTCGCCCATCCCGAACCTCTACCTGACGCCGCCAACCTTCTCCCTCTACATGGTCGGGCTCGTCCTCGAGCACCTCCGCGAGGCTGGCGGCGTCGCCACCGCGGAGCGCCGCGCCGCCCTCCGCTCCGGCTGGCTGTACGAGGTCATCGACTCCTCGCGCGGCTTCTACCAAAACAGCGTCGAGCCGTCGTCGCGGTCGCGCATGTCGGTCCCGTTCACACTCGCCCCGGGCGCGCGCTCGCCCGAGGAGCTCGCCGCCCTCGAGCAAACCTTTCTGGCCGAGGCCGAGGCCGCCGGCTTCACCCACCTCCGCGGGCACCCCCTCGCGGGCGAGCTGCCGCCCACCCTGCCCACGCCGCTGCTCTCCACCCCCAAACACGCGCACACACACACCGCCACCGCCACCTCTCCCGTGCCCCGCCCCACCACCGGCCACCCCGCCACTCACGTCGCGTGCCCCGGCCAGCGCACCGACGGCGCGTGAGCCGTGGCCCCGACAGGCGGGCTGCCCTAACCCTGACCCTGACCCTGACCCTGACCCTAACCCTACCCCGACAGGCGGGCTGCGCGCCTCGCTCTATAACGGCGTGAGCGACGAGTCGGTCGCCGCGCTCGTCAGCTTCCTGACCTCCTTCCAGGCCCGCACCGCACCTCGCGGCCGCACCTCTCCCCCCACCGCTCCTCACCCGCCTCACTCCTCCTCCCCGCAGGCCCGCCACGGCTGAGGGACCGGGCGGCGGCCGCCCGTATATGGCCGCCGACACCCTCCTAGAGGCCTCGCCGCGCCCCTCTATCAGCGGCGATCCCTCCCCCCCTCCCCCACCCCGTCTGCGCACCACCACCTCCCCCTCCCGTCCATCTTCCGTGTGCCGAGGCGCGGGTCTCGGCTAGCCCCTGCCGCCTCGCTTGTGTCTGAGCTGCGAGCCCCACACTACGCCCTTGCTGCTCGCGGGGAGGCTCGCCTCCTGCCGGCACAGGGCCCCCCAGCACCCGCCTGGGGGTGTATCCTCGTGGGGCCGCGTTCCTCTCCTCCACCCCCTTTCCTGACCCAACACACGGTGCCGCTCCCCTCATTTGGGAGGCGCCCGGTGCTGCGGTCTGCGCAGGGCAGCGGTAGAGGGAGGGGAAGCATGTACTATAGGTGCTCATACTCGCTTGTCGGACGTGCCTGATTGCATTGCCAGTGGAGTAGTGGTGGCCCATTGTATGTGTTGTACTGCGGACACAAAAAAGACTAGAGAAGAGACTAGAGAAGAGACTAGAGAGCGGTTCAGGGCACAGGGGTTCAGCTTGCAGGGCCCCCCCCAACATCGCCATGCCCATGGCCGTCACTTGGCTGCAGCGGCTCTGGCCCTCTGGGCGCTCTGGTACGTCGTACGTGTGGGAGTATCAGTATTGGAGATAGACTGTGCTGACTGGCACTCTAGAGTAGGGATCCGATCCGCGATCCCTAGTAGCTAGTTTGTCAGACGCGTGCGAGTTGCGAGGAGAGCGAGCGGGGAGGGGGGAGCGAGCTGTGTGGCCTGTATGCCCCGGGGGAGATGGGTGGCGCGGCTCCAGGCCGGGGGCGCTGGCCAGGGGGGGCGGCAAAATCTCTGATGTTGAAAGGAGAGCGCAAAGTCCAAAGAAAGATCGTAAGGCAAAAAATCTTGGAAAATTTGCAGTTTACTACGTTTTGAGCTTTTCTCTTGCAGATTACTACGCGTGCGGGTCAATCAAATTGCCTTGCAGATTACTACACAATCCACCTTGCAGATTACTACACACCCACACAACCCACCTTGCAGATGACTACACACCACACAATCCACCTTGCAGATTTACTACACACCACACAATCTCCACCTTGCAGATTACTACACACCACACAATCCACCTTGCAGATTACTACACACCACACAGTCCACCTTGCAGCTTGCAGATCACTACTCATCACAGAATCCACCTTGCAGATCACTACTCACCACACACTCCTAAGAACCTCGAGGGACCTCCCCACGCGCCCAAGCTGCTAAGAGCGGCCGCACCACTGCTCGGTACCCCCCCTGCACACCTAAGCTCATGGCCGACCCACCCCCCCCCCCCCCCAGCAGAGCTCTGCCTGTGGGGGGTGCTGGCATCACTGTACAAGACCGCTGTAAGTAGCATGCGTTCCAGTGGCGAGAATTTATGGTCGGCACCCAAATCAGTGGTCTCACCGGCGGGCCCTCCTTGCTCCTAACTGCCAGCCGGGCGGTGCGGGACACGCCAGCCTCTCTTCTACGCCTCTCGTGCATCGCGGCGCCTCTAGGCAATCCGGATTGGCCAGCGAGTAGGATGACGCGAGATCAAGTTTCTTTTTAACAACGAACGAGCACGACGGACGAGCGAGGGGGTAGTAACTGCAACCTCGGATTTGTGTGTGTAGTAATCTGCAAGGTGGAATGTGTCGTCGTAGTAATCTGCCAAGATAAAAGCTCAAAACGGTAAAGCCGCACAACCTTTTTTTGTCGAAACGGGCTTCGCCCGCTTGGCGTGCAAGCCAGGGTGGGTCGCTTTCCAGCCTATCCTTCCGCCGCGTTCCCTCGTCTCTGTCATGTATCTCGAGGCGAAGCGCGCAGGGTTCAGCCGAGGGATGAACCTGAAGACGGAGCGGAAACGGGCGCTTAGCCAGCAAACGCGAATCCAGGCAACAGCCCCGGAGCCTCGCGATGCTCCGCAGAAATCGCCAGCACCAGCACCAGCAGCACCACCACCTGTCCGGCGGAGCTCGTCAACAGGGCTTTCGGACATCCTGGGCAGCAGCCTTTCGCTCGGCTTCACAGACTTGGAGCCCGTGCGCAGCCGGAAGCGTTCGAAGCCTGCGGGGCGGGACTTGACGGTGCGGCAGAGGCAGGGCAAGAAATATGGGCCGAAAGGCGGCCCAAAGACTCGGCCTTCGCAACCGCGTGCTGTCGGCGCGGTCATGGAGAGCGTCACGGTAGGAGGGCACACGTTGCGCTGGCGCACCACAGATCGCACGAACGCGTCGGGTCGCGGCCTCCAGTCGCACGCCCCAGCGGATCTGCGCAGTCTGTGGCCACGCAGAAGGCGAAGTGCCGAGGAGCGGGCTGCGGAGCTCGAACCCGAGCAGATTGCGCAGCACTGCAGCGTGCTCTTCGGCGCCGGCCAGGCCGATCGGCTGCCTGAACCGCTGCTTGGCCTCATACAGGAGGAGTTGCGCAGCGGCAGGCGCGCGAGACAAGCTCCATCTCTGGCCGCCGGGGCGCCCCTGAATGCGCGGCGTTGTACCGTAGGGAAGTTTGACATCGGTCCGCTGTGTGGCCAAACCGCAAACGCGAAAGCGAGCGAGCGCCTCTGCTGAGCGGTCTCTGACGACTGACCGACAGGACGTGACAGGTGCCACGCAGGCGGTGCCAATAAACACTGTTGTGGGTTGGCTAATGGGGTTTACTACATACTACGGTGAAGATCAAGACGGACGAGACCCCCCCCCCGCGGACGGACGAGAAAATTCTCACATCTCAGAAACCCCCCCCGCGCCTCCGGCGTCCGCGCTCGAGCGGCCTCCCGGGCCCCAAGTTCGAAGTTGAACTACATCACGTCTCTCATGTTCATGTTCATGTCACATGACATGTGCATGCACATGTACATGTGCATGTGTGCGCTTCTCAGTCCATGAGTGCAAGGAGGGCGCCAGCGCTCCTCTTGGGTTGCTGCCGTGGAGACACGCGCCGTCGCACCACGCCAGCAGCCGCCGGGGCCGAAGAGGAATCGGCGGCGCTGAGGTTGGGGGCCGGTGGCAACGAGGAGCGCAGCTGCAGCGCGGGCGTCTCGAGGACGCGCGTGCAGCTGCCCGAGCCCGATCCAACGAGGGGCGCGCGCGGGGCCGAGGGGGGGCAGACCTGCAGCGTGGGTGCGTAAAGGTGGGAGGGAGGGGGCGGGGGGGAGGGGGCACGACCGTTAGATGGGCCCGCAGCCCCGACTCCGGCGGCCACGTCTTCGTGGACCCGTGCTGAACACAGCGAAACCTCACCGAACCGCGCGGAGGCCCCCGGAGCGGGGGCGGGGTCTTTGCTTTCCGCATCTAGGCAGCCGACGGCGCCGCGCGAGGCGGGCGGCGAGAGCCCGGCGGCCCGAGAGACGGGGCCCGCACCGCGCGGCGTCTCGCGGGCGAGGACGAGGTTGGGGCAGAGTGCGGGCGGAGACATGCCCCGCACGCGGGCGGGCGGCGCGGCGGCGCGGCGGCCCTTGGCGGCGGCGCCGCGGCCCCTCGGCACGGCGCCGCTGGCGCGGCCCGCGCGGCCGCCTCGCCCACCCGCTGCAGGCGAGGCTGCCACGGCACTGCTCCGCCGCGAGCGGGCGGGCGAGAGCGGCGCAGCTGCGATGGCGGCGGCGGCGGCGGCGGCGGCGGCGGGCATGGCTGCGGCGGCTGGAGAGCGAGCGGCGCCGGGGGAGACGCCGCCGCCGCCTCTCTGCCGCTTTGGGGGAGGGGTGCCGCCCCGCCGCCTCCTCGCCTCGGGCGCTGCCGCGGCTGCTGCCGCCGGGCCGGAGGCGGCGGAGGAGGACGAGACGCGCGCGCGCTTGCCGTCGGCGCCGCGCGAAGAGAGGCCGCCGCCCCGCCTCTCCTCCCTGCCGCGCTCCCTGCCACGCTCCCTGCGCGGCTTGCGGCTCTCTCTCCGCCGCTCGACCAGCTCTCCGTTCACCTACGGCACGGCTCCGGCACGGCTCCGGCAAAGCTCCGGCAAAGCTCGGCCACCTCCTCCGCGCGCCTCGTCGTTGGAAGCCTTTCTCCTCTTGGAGCGGCTGGCCGGCGGAGGAGGTGCACGCCACGGCTCGCGCGAAGCCTACCGCAGTCGCTCACGCGAGGAGTGGCAAACAAGCAATGCTGCAGCTGCTGATCTGGCTCACAAGAGCGAGGCCTGGCGCGTCGGAAGAGGAGGAAGCGCAGCCTGCCCAGTGGCCTCGCCCCTGCCCCTGCCCCTCCCTTCCGCCTCGGCCCGGCTGCCGCCCCCCGAGCCGCTTCCCGCCCCGCTTCCCGCGCTGCCGCCGCGCCCCTCTCCTCCTTCTCCTCCGCCGCTGCCCTCCCCGGTCGGCACGACCCCGTCGCCTCCCGCGCCTCCCGCGCCCCCCGCGCCCCCCGCGCCCCCCCCGCCGTCCGCCTCCCGCCGGCCGCCTCTCGAGGCTGCGAGGGAGACCTCGAGGTCGTGGCGGCCGTGCGCCTCGTCGGCGGCCGCCGCGGCCAGCGGCACCTGTCGGGGGGCGGGAGGAGGCGGTGGGAGGGAGGCGAGTGGTCCCGGAAGTGCGCAGGAGGCGTCAGGGCCTCGCACCGCCGAGGAGGTGTCTAGGAGGTGTCTAGGAAGTGTCTAGGAGGTGTCGAGGAGGTGTCTAGGAGGTGTCTAGGAAGTGTCTAGGAGGTGTCGAGGAGGTGTCTAGGAGGTGTCTAGGAAGTGTCTAGGAGGTGTCTAGGAAGTGTCTAGGAGGTGTCTAGGAAGTGTCTAGGAGGTGTCAGGGCCCCCACACCGCAGAGGAGGGCGGAAAGTGCCCCTCGAGGCGTGCGTGGACGTCGCGCGGCAGCAGCTCGCCCAGCAGCCGCGGAAGCAGCAGCACATACTCGGCCGCCGTCGATGGAAGCGGCACGGGGGCCTCTGCCCCGACGTCGCACCCTGCGGCACAAGCCGGCACGCCGGCGGCCGGGTCATCGCTCGGCGTGGCCTCGACGCCGGCGTTGTCAGCAGCGAGCTTGATGCCGAGCATCTGGACAGTCTTCTTGACCAACGCGTACTCGGCCTTGCTCGCCGCCGCGTCCCCCCGCAGGCACACCAGCGCCAACCGCAGCTGCGTCTGCATGTCATAGCTCCGCGCGCTTTCTCCACGCATGTCGTGCGGAGAGCGGAGGAGCTTCTGCTCGCAAAAAGCGACGAGCGCCTCCTGGTTACGGCCCGCGCCGCCCGCCGCCCGCTCGAGCGCACGCTGCACCTCTCGGACCAGACGACCAACCTCGGCTGCGGTCTCAGACGGCTGCTGCTCGAGCTGCCGCCAGTCACACTCGAGCACATCGACTGCGGCGGTGAGGGGCGCGCTCCAGCCGCGTGCGTCGAGCTTCAGCGCCTCGAGATGCCCGTAGAGCTCGCCCTGCAGAAATTGCCTGAGAGAGGAGGCGTTGCGAGGCGGCGGCGTGCCGGGCGAGGGCGTGGAGGTGGTAGCGGCGAGGTGGCGCGAGCGGCGCCGCGGGGCAGACATCGCGGAGAAGAACAGTTTTCGAGCGGGTTTCTGGAGAAAAAGAAACCCATGGTAAAACGGTCTGTCTGTGGGCCCGAGCGCAGAAAAATTCAAGATAGGATTTTAACACGTGCAACGAGCTTATCCGTTCTTCTGCGCTACGCCATCTAAGCCTTTCTTCCTCTCCTTGGCGTTGAGCCTCTTGGGCTTCGCCGGCGACTTGACGGCCTTGACCGGGGTCAGCTCCGGCCTGTACTTGTAGACCGTGCAGGTAATGTTGCGCGGGCCGGCATTCACCTTCACAACTCCTCCCTCCTCCGTCGTGACCGTCACGGAGGCGCCGGCTGCGATCTTGCGCGCAGCAGGCGAGGCGGCCAGTGCGAGGCTGCCGATGCTGAACGCCTCGACTGCGCCGTCCTCGAACTGCACCGACGCCGTGTGACCTTGTCCGCCATGCGTGACCTTGACCACCGTGCCGGACTGGCCCAAGCGAGCGGGGCGCTGGAGTGTTGCAAACTGCGGGGTCCTTGATTTGGACAGCACGCCGCCGACAAGACCGAAGACTCTGGTTTTACTTGAGCCCGGCAGAAGGCTCTCGTCCAACACGTGCCCCATCTCCTTCAGCACGGCGATCACATCGTGAGCGGTGCCCTGCTGGTTGGGCAGCCGCTGCATCGCGCTGGTGACTTCGTCCACCCAGTTGATGCTCTTGTCATGCGGCACGCCAGCCTGCCCTTGGCCCATCGGCGCGAGCTTTGGATTCATCAGCCGCTGGCCTCGGTTTGTGACCGCGTTCACGCCGCGTCCCAGCGAGCGTGCGATGCTGCCCCACGCCTCGCCTCCCGTCCTCCGCCGCTTGATCGCCGCATCCTCGTCCTCGCTGTAGTTGCCCACGCCGGGCTTGAGGCCCGACCCCTCGAGCACATTGACCTGACGCTTCAGCAGCCGAGACACGCGCGTCCACCGCTCCCGCTTCTTGCCGCCATCGCTCGAAAACGAGAGGTGGAGTACGTTTCGGTCCTGCTTTCGCCGCCGCCGCACGTGCGACGGCGGCGCAGCGCCGGCGGGAACGAAGGTGACCTTTGCCTCGCGCTTGACAGGCTTTTTCAGCCGTGTGTACTCCACGCGGTTGCCGTCGAAGAAGCAGCTCGAGCTCATGGAGGATGCGAAGCCGCCGATTTTCATGCAAAAAGAATTAGATGCGCGGCTATAAGTGCTCCAGGTGCTACTCGCTTTCTTTTGGCGGCGAAGCTTGCTTGCGAGCCCTCGTTCGTACACTCGTCGACACTGGATCTCCTTCCCCGGACGGGGCCAGCCTACCCTGAAGGTCTGCCGGTCGGTCGCTCAACCGCTGGTGGGCGGAGCCGGCATGACCGTCGCCGCGGTGGCCGTGCTGGGCCGTGAGGCGCGCACTCACGTCGCCGCCGGCCACAGCACTGACACACAGCACCGATCCCACAGCACCGAGCCCTCGCGCCCCCTTCCAGAACAACCCGCTCTACCTGCGCACGTTTGGCGCGGCGGGCGGTGGCGAGGCGGCACCCGACACGCTGCGCTTCCACTTCATCGTCCACGCGGCGCTCGATCACGTCGAGGAGAAGCTGGCGAGCCAGCGCACGGCGGCGGCAGGCGGCGGGAAGCTCGACCCTTACCTGGGGCTGCTGTACCCAATCGAGGACTACCGCGTGTACGGCTACGTGACAAACTCGCGCGCCAAGCTGCTCACCGTCGTCGACGACGACGAGGTCAAGGACGCGGAGATGCGCGCGCTCTTCCGACGGCTGCACACGCTCTACGTCGACACAATCTCGAACCCCTTCCACGCGCTCGACTCTGAGCTCAACGGCTGCGCGTCGTTCGAGCGGCAGGTCGCGCGAGTGGTCGAGGCGGGGCTGTACTAAAAGGGAACAGAGCTTTCGTTATATATTATATACCATATACGAGACAGATACACACTGTACTCTGTAGTACAGATTTTACTTTTTAGAGGACTCTAATGAACTGACACACGGAACGGATCAGAGAGTGCGGTGTCTGTCGCACGAGTGTTACAGGTTACACCTCTTTTCTCCCATGCCGCGGTGGTTCCCGCCCCTTAGCGCTTAGGGTATATCCCTACTTAGGCTTAAAAGCTTGCCCAACGTCTCCGTTCGCATCCTCGTCATCGTGTTGGTTGGGGGCGTCTTGATTGTGATGCACACGCCCGCTGGCAAAGACTCAGAGAAGGCGACCGCCCCACCATATGACCATGCACTTGGAAAGCAGTCCGCCTCTGCCGAGAAGACCCACCCGCTGCCACGGGTGCGTCCGGGGATTCCATGGTCTGGGGGGCGGTTGCTGTGGCCAGCGTGTGCTCGCTTTTGTACCTGACCGCGGTTGTCGTCTACTTCGCCAAGGGCGAGGTTGATTGGAGCGGTGTCCCATATTGGCATCGTGCTCTTCGCCTCGAGAACCTGCGTATGGTGTGCTCGTTGGTTACTACATCTGCTGTGGCATCGCCCTCATGGTAGGACTCAGCCACGCCGATATCAGTGCTATCCACGCTCCCCCAGAGGAGGCTGGACTCGAGAAACTGTCGACCAACTGATACGCGCACACGGCGAGCGAAAGATCAAGATCGTAGATTGCATCAACAGGCGGAGCGGTCATATAATCGGGTGCCTTTTCAATTGGGCGATCTTCATCCCTTTCTTCGTCCCGAACCAGGAAGCTCGGGTGTCTGCGGCAATGATCTACAGCTTCATCAAGGTCACTTCCCGGTGTTACATGATCGATGCGGGAGGCCTCTTGAGCAAGATTTTCTTCAGGGGCACTCGCGTCCGTGACGGAAGTGTCGGGCGGATCAACCTAGTGGTTGTCTAGTTCGCTCCTCATCCTCAACTCGAACATCTCGGAAGCACACGCGTCCTTCCTCATGAGCTATTGCTGGCAGGGCCACATCTGGGGGGACCCGGCGGCGGAGATTGTCGGCAGTTTCTTCGGCCGTGTTGAATTCAGTGTTGCGGGGTTCGGCGAGATCAACAAGAAGACTGTGGAGGGTGTGGTTGGATGCTGGGCCGGGCCGCAACCCTCCTTGCGTGCGCTTGCTGCGCGACTCTGCCTGGCTTCCCGCCCGCGACATGCTTCTCTGTGTCCCTCATCTCCTTGCACATGATGGTCGCCACCGCCGTCACAATTATGGAAACAGCTTGCTTTCGGGCGCTAGATAATGGCTTCATTGTGCTCTCCGCCACCCTCGTGGTCATGTATTTCTACGTGCCAGAATCACCCCGTTTTTGCCCATTTTTGGTCATCCGTCAAACTATCTGAAGATCTGTCCGGAAGATTCTCCCCAAACCTTGCTCAGCTGATCCAGCACGGGCCGTAGGCCAGCCCTGGCCAAAGAAACTAGCACCTCAACCGGCTTCCCTGAGCGTCACAGCTCGGTGATCGCGCCGGCCGGACACCACTGTAGCGTCCGTTCCGGGCATTTGAACGCGACCTTCGGGGGCAAAGACATGGGCTCTATGGCTCAGACTGGACTCCTCTTGGTCCCTTCTGATGCCCTAGGCCACGCCTGGGCCTTACCCGGGGTTCTAGGGGGCGGGCTGGGGTTTGCCCCCCCCAACTGGCCCGAGGGACCTTAAAAGGTCTTAAAAAAATCCGGCCCTCAGAACCCTAGGGGTACCCTAAGGGTTTCACGCATCGACTTGTATGTGACTACACAAACAATACAGCAAACCTCCGCCCTATACTCTCCGCAAACAATTCAGCAAACCTCCGCCCTACTCTCCGCCCGCGCCACCGCCTTGGCCGCCCGCCTCGCGGCCTTGCGGCTCGGACTCGCCAGAGGCTTCGCGGAAGAGGTCTCCATATGATCGCCGCTCCTCCTGCGGCTGCTGCGGCTGCTGCGGCGCGAGGAGCGGCCCCGTGCCGGTGGCGTGCGAGCCACTCGCCTGCGAGGCAGTGCGGTGGAGGAGCAGCGTGGGGTGGGAGGGAGGAGGGCGGGTCCGTGTGTGCGGGGCTGGCACGCGAGGGGCCGTCCGCCTGGGCGCTAGCCTGGGCGCGGCCGCCGCCCCAATGCGGCCAGTGCCTGACGTGGATGAGGAGGAGGGCGCTGCCGCAGCGCCAGCAGTTGAGCGCGGCCTTGGCCGCCCAGATGGCGAGGAGGGAGGAGGGGGAGAGCGACTTTGCGAGCGCGAGCGCCGGAGCGAACGTGCAGCAGACGCCGAGCAGGAGCGCGTTGCGCAGGAAGCCAAAGGCGCGCACCGCGTAGATGAGGCCGTCGTACACAAAGACGAGCGCGTTGACGGGCTGCAGCGCGCCTGCTCGCAGCCGGGCGGTCAAGATACGCCGCTCGTGCGGGGCGAGCGCGGCTCTTCCTCGAGGCAGCGCGCAGAGCAGCGTCCACAGCGGCGTGTGGAGCATGGCGCGCCTGCTCTCGCGAGATGGGTGTGGACGGCGGGGTCTCCGCGCGGGCGGCGGCGCCGTGTGGAGCGGCGGGCGCGTCTCGCTGTCGCGAGTGAAGGCGGCGACGAGCGGGTCGTGCAGCGCCGCCATGAGGCACGCCGCTACTCCTCCAGTGGCGAGCCTGAGGGTGAGTGACGGCCATGACTCATTGTAATGAGGCACGCCGCTAGTGGTGGCGACGCGTGGAGAGCGAAGATCGGGCGGGCGCAGGCTCTCTCGCGTTGCTTAATCACGATTCCTCAATGAGTCTCTTCATCACGGTTCCTCGTTCATTGAGTGTGCGTCTCCCGCGTCTCTTCCGCATCCTCAGGGCGCGTGCCCGAGCAGGAGCAGCGTCGCGGTGAGCCGCCTCATGTGACGCTCCTCGCCCGCGCCCAGCAGCCGCGAGCCCACCATCGTCCCCACGTCGGCGAAGCCTGCGGCGCGAGGGACGCGTCACGGACGCGTCCTGCGCGGCGCGACCACCCGCCCAGCGACTCGCGAGCTGCCGTCGACGACGTACGAAGTGACCATCCACAGCTGCAGCACCACGGCGTGCGCCCCGACGGTGGCGGCGCCGAGCGGCGCGACGGCGACCATCAGCGCGAGCACGGAGCCCGAGAGGAGCACCGACCGGACGAGCACCTGCCGCGGTGCAGCGGAGGTTGCACCAGATTACACGAGGCTGCCCGTCGCCGAGGGGAGGGGCGGAACGGAGGAGGGGAGGGGCGGGGCGGAGGAGCACGTTGAGCGAGTCGCGCGCGAGGGAGAGGAGGGAGGACTCGGACGGCGCAGCAGGAGCGTCGGCCGGCAGGGCGCCCTCCGCCTCTGGCGCAGCCGCCGCCCGCCTGCAGCAGCGTCGAGGGAGGACCCGGACCGCGGCGTCTGGCGGGAGGAGGAGGACGGCGGTGACAGCTGCGGCGGCGGCGATCGCGCACGTCGCCGCCACAGCGGCTCCGACGGCGACGAGCCTACGGCGCACATCTTGGACGCATCCCGGACGTGTTGGACGTGTTTCCACAGCTGCCGCAAGACGGACGAGCCCGCCGCCCGCGAGGACGAGGCTCGAGTGGAGCAGCAGGTAGAAGGCGGCCGTGTCGGCGCAGGCCAGGGCCAAGTTGAGCAGCGACGCGGCTTTCACTCTCTGGTATCCCACGAGCACGGCGCTCGAAGCTCGCAGCAGCAGCAGCGGCGGCAGCCGAAGCAGCGCCACAGGAAGGTAGGACTCGGCGAGTTCGTCGAGCGGCGGCCGTGAGAGCGAGAGCGCGCTGAGGAGCGGCCTGCGCCCCAGCCAGAGCACAAGGGCGCTCAGCAAGCCAATCACGAGCGCGCACACGAGGACCGTCCACACCGTGCGGCCGAGCGCGGCCCACCGCTTTGCGCCCAGCGCATGGCCGACCCGAGACATGGTGACGACGATGACAAAGTTGGATATGTTGGCCACAAAAGTAACGGCAGCTCCAACCGCCGAGAACACTGCCACTCGCTGCGCCGCCGAATCGCTGTGCCCGAGGAGTCCGAGTTGCAACGCCGCAGCAATCGGCTGCGCGGCGTTGTTAACAATGGAGGGAAGTGAGGCTGCCAGAATGGCGCGGAGCGAGACGGCTTTGGCGAAGTCATCCTCCGCGATTCGCACAAGGGGCTCGTCGTTGTTGGCGGGGACGGACATCAGTAACTCGAGCCAAAACGCAGCTTGGGGGCCCAACTCGCGCGAAAGCTAGGGTTCGGGCCACACGTGAGTAGGGGGTCTTGCCACCCCCTATACTACCCAGCCACGAGCCCGAACAACCTAGGGACCCACTTTCTAGTGGGAGGCCTCGCCGGGGCTCTGCTCCAAGCATATGGTCCAAGCACCAAGGTGAAGCGGCATACTGGTAAGAAAAGGAATTCCAGGGTCTTCGAGAGTGAGCTGACAGTTCTGTGAGTCCGCCCCAGCACCAGAGGCGCATTTTACTCCGGTGGAGTTTTTGTTGTGTCTTGTGTGTGTCCGGGTGCGTGGCCGTGGGCAACTCGGCTGAACGCAAGCTCTCAAAGTCAAAAGCGCAGCCTTGTCTCAAGGATCAAGGCTGGGCGCGGCGTGGCGATTACGAACCAACGCACGGACACCAATCACCACACAAATTGCGGGGTGGGAGAGGAACTGAGAGGCCCTCAAGCGGCTGCCCTCACACCCTTCCCTCTCCCCTCACCGAGTGCACCGCTCCAAGCAGCCCCTAGCCCGCCCCCTGCCCCATCCAAGCTCACGCAACGGCTAGCCTTCTGGTCGTCTTGGACCGCTAGCAGTGCTCTTCCCACGTATCCCCTTCCCCATCCATCCCACCCTTCACCCCCCTACACCCCCCTTCCAACCAAAGCCCCTCTTGCTTGCGCTTCTGGCCCCAGCGAAGCCCTTGATACCTTGATACTTTGGCAGTCTCTATTGGCACCCAGCCAGCTCCTCAAGCAAGCGGTCCGCCTATTGGTCGCCGGGTGGTGTGGTGAAACGCGGGGTGGTGATGGGGTGGTGATGGGGTGGTGATGGCGTGGGATGGGCTGGTTTTCGGAGGGAGATCGGAGGTTGGGTGTGCTGGCCGCGCCTGAGCGAGTAGGCCTCCATCCGCCGACACCCCCATCGACGCGTTGGCAGCACGGATGGTGGAGATCAGGTCTCTCCCGCTTTCCAACGCCAAAGCGGTACGGATCGCCTCCACCTTGGTCGGCAGGGGCACCCCCGGAGCCATCGCCAACGCCAGCGGTGGCACCGTACTCTGTGAGGCCCCAGATGCCGTCGGCGCGCTCGATGCGCGCACAAGGGTTGGCGGCGGCGGCGAAATAAGTGGCGACGCTGCCGCGGCGGCCCAAGCAGCGGGAGGCCACCCCTCTTCCGAACCTCGCCCGTTCGCGTCCAGCGCGCCGTTTGAGCTGTTGCCCCCCGCCGTCGATGGCAAGGACGCTGATGACCCCCAGCACGAGGAGAATTTGGAGTTGGAGAAATTTGTGCTGGCGGCGGCTGGAGCGGCAGAGGTGGAGTCGGCAGCGGAGGCGGAGGCGGAGGCGGAGGCGGAGGCGGAGGCGGAGGTGGTAGCGAGAGCGGCGACAGAGGATACACGTGCAGAGGAGGACTCAGGGGCAGCGGCGGCGGGGGCAAGAGCGGGCGTGAGCACTGATGGCACAGACGCGTCGCTTGGCGGTGAGGCGGGGCTCGCCGGAGCCGATGCATGGCGCGGCGCGGCGGCGGGGCTGGCGGCTTGCGGGGATGCGCGATCAACCAGTCGGTCGGCGACAGCGCCGCGCATCTCCTCAATTTTGAACCGCCTGCCCTCGATGGCGAAGGCCTCGGGCCCCGATACGAAGGTGTTGCGCGCCAACTGCGCAGCCGCTGGCGCAGCAAAGGTGACGATCGCACTGCCCGGCGGCAGGTTGAGGTCGCGGCAGGAAACGGAGGTCACCTCGCCGAAGCGCCCGAAGAAGATGGACAGCTTCGCCACGTCGCGCACCGATGCGTGTAGCGAGCGGCAAAATATCGAGTGTGCCGACGATGGGCTTCCAGACACAACGGCGCGCGCCCGCGCAGAGTCCCGTGCCTGCCGCGGCTTGTCGCTTGGTCTGTCCCGCGCGAGCTCGACGCGCATGATTCGCGGCTTCTCGTCGCCTAAAGGGGCACGCTCGCGGCGTTGGGCGTCGCAAGGGCGACACGAGAGAAGGAGGGCGGCCATGAACGCCGTTACTCGTCGCGACGCCACTCGGCCACCTGTGCACGTACCCAGCGATGTTCATCGCCTCCACCGCTCCACGCGCGTCGGCGGGCTCCTTGAAGGTGACGTAGCCAAATCCGCGCGATGAGCGGCCGTGGTATGCAACAAAGGCGTCCGTCACTTCCCCGAACACCTCAAAGGCCTGCCTAAGCATCTTGCCGTTGACCGACCAGGGCAGGTTGGAGCAAAAGATCTGGTTGGCAGAGATGGGTCGCTCCTCGAGGGCTGTGCGCCCGCTGTGCGCGTACGATGCGCGCGCGTTCTCCTCGCTGCCGCCTGGCCCCTTTGGGGTCGGCTCTCCCTCAGCCCACGCCGCCTCCGCCTCGTGGTCGTCCGAGGAGCCGCTTGAACGGCCTGTAGCAACTCTGGGCGACACCTTCTGCTGCCCGCGCCAGCCAGGCGGCCAGGGTGCGCGGAAGCCAGGACGGACCATGTAGGCGGTCGGCACGACGGGGGCCACATACAATGGTGGAGGCTGCCCGTAGCCGCCGACGTCCACAGCTCGCCACGCAGGCCGCGCGCTCATGTTCATGTTCATGTAGCCGCCGGTGTAGCCTGCTGCGACAAAGCCGGGAGGGACGTAGCGCACGCCGGCAGGGACAAAGTAGGCGCCGCCGGGGTAGCCCGGCGGAGCAGCTCTCGGCCCACGCTCCACGATCGTAATTTTTCTCCCGCCATTTGTCTCCCCATTTTTCCGCTGCACAGTCGGGCTCCCTCCTGGTGTCGATGGTGCAGCCGCGCTCGGGGCAGGGACGGGGAACCACTCTGCCGCGTCCGGCCGGAGCTCAGCGACCTCGATGTCGCCGAGCGCGGCAGCCGCATCCTCGACCGTAGCAGCCATGCACCGCCGTGGCGGAGCCCAGCTCCCCACCGGCCCCTACTCTCCGCCCTCGCTAAAGTGCAATCGTTGTGCCAATAGCCCGCCAAGACTCAGCTTAGTTTCAAAGTTCTCCGGCGCCTTTTCGAACGGTTCTCATTCCGTGCTCCGTCAAATTCGGTCCTCCTGAGCGGAGGTGGCCCGCTGGATGGAGAGATGAGGAAACAGAGAAAAATGACCGCCCGCAAACACACCCAAAGCCATCTGCAAAGTCCGTCCGCCCATCGTGCGTTCGTAATTGTGAGCCGCATATGACTACTGTAACGGCGTGCTCTTTAGAAGACACTCTCGAGGACATTGTGGAGGCTTCCGAAGAAAGATGAATGAGTGGAGGCGAGCGAGCGAGCGAACGAAGCGAGCGAGCGACACCCCTCCCCTCCCTCCCGCCGTCCGGGGAGGGAAAGAAATATCACACTGGCACGACAAGGGCATGGAATGGCCCAACAGAAAACGCATCGGGGCATCTATTGACTGTATCTGTAGAGGTGAAGAACAGAACAGACAGTCTCAGTCAGGCTCGGACTGGACACCGGCGTGGTAAGAAGCCGGTAACGCGGATAGTAACCCGGGATAGGTGAACGCGAGACAGGAGAACGGCACGCTGGATCGACACACAGACACAGAAACTCAGAAGACACTCGCTGCTAACCATCGGAATGTCCTAGGGCATGTAGTAAGGTGAAGAACAGCCAGGCTCGGACCGGACACCAACGCGGTATGGGTGGACGCTGGACAGATGATGACGACACGCACGAGCGACACACAGACACAAACAAGCTCACAAGACACACAGCCAGCTGGCTGCCACACACCCTGAGTTGGCGTACACACATAACTCAAGGCCACATCCTCCCTGTCGCCCCCCCCAGCACTTCACCGTGCCAAAGGAACAAACAAGGGCACAACATCACAACAGACAACAGGAAGTAACATGCGAGGCTAGAGCAGGCTTGCTCCACCTCCTAGCAATCTCGCCGGCCGCAAGGCACGGACAAGACCGTGTGTGGGGTCTTGTGAGGTGTCTATGGACGCCCTACTCAAAGGCTAGCTGCCTCTACTGCTAGCCCTATCTCGCACTCACGGGCAGTGACAATTCAATGGGTGAGTGTTTGCGAGCAGAGGCGCGTGGGCTAAATCTAGCCGCACGTCGTGGCACTATGACGAAGTTAGACGTGCGGCCGCAGCGCGCCCGCCGCAGGCTCGGCGGTGCGCGCGCGTGTTAGCGAGAAGTTGCGGGTAGAGCCATGCCGACTTTTCGAAGGTGAGGCCTGCAGGCCTCTGCGACGAGTGCCAGCCGCGCTGCGGAGCCACACCCTTCGAGCCGCGTCCCGTCGGCACCGTCCCTGAGTCGGCACCGTCCCTGAGTGTGTCTCGCCTTGGCGACACACACTCTCGGCGAGGACAGTCCGGCCTACGGGAACGTGTCGCGCGCCGGCGACGGTTGCGGCGTGGTGGTTTCGAGTACGAAGCGAAGATGGCACGACCACCGCCCTGCATCGCAGACCGGGCAAGGGGGGGCCTGCTCCCGTTCCGCGAGGAACAGGAGGTCTCCCCCCCTCCCCCGGCCTGAGCAACTACGGGTGGAAGGCAGCCCCTTGAGTCGAGGGCGGCGCGACCATTGCCGCTCTCCAATGATCAGAGACCCGGTAACTGCAGATGGTCGCGCCGCCCCGCTCCGCGTCGCCCGCCGCCGCGCCGCCCCGCCGCCCGATGATTATTAATTGGCAATTAATTAATAATTAAGTAATTACCCCACCCGCCGCCGCGCCGCCCCGCCCTGCGTCGCCACTTGCCTCGCCGCGCCGCCGCCTCGCGCCGCCCGCCGCCGCACCGCAGCGCACCGCGCCGCCGCCCGATGATTAATAATGAATAATTATTACCCGATAATTAATCATGTGTGTGTGTGTGTGTGTGTGTGTGTGTGTGTGTGTGTGTGTGTGTGTGTGTGTGTGTGTGTGTGTGTGTGTGTGTGTGTGTGTGTGTGTTTGCGCGATGGCAGGGCAGGGCAGGGCAGCCGCGAGCGGCAAGTGGCATCGGCGACGCGGCGCGGACACGATCGTGACGCCCACAGCGCAGCGTGCGCGGCAGCAGCGCCGCCGGCGGCCCCACGCCGCATCAGCAGCGTTCTGAGTGAGTCAGGCTGCGCTGCACAGCCTGCTGAGCACGCTCCCGACGAGCAGCGCGCCACGCGGGCCCGCCGCAGGCGATGCGGGCGGCGAGTCGACACGCGTGTCGCAGGCGTAGGCAGCGCTGGCGAAGCGAGGCGGCCGGCGCCGGCCCCCGCAGGCGGTTGCAGCGAGAGAAGCGATGTAAAAGACACTGTTGAAAGGGTGGGGAGCGGCCTGCCGTCGAGCAGCACGCCGCGCGAGCCCGCTGCCGGCGACCCGATCGAGAGCTCGTAGTCATGGTACTATTCAGCGCCCATCGCGCCCGAGGCGGTCCGCTCTGGCCCTGTCGGCCTTCCCAGACACCTTGTCGAGGCTGTACAGAGTGCCGAGAGCATGCTGGGCAGGCTCCCGTCGAGCGACGAGCCATGCTGGCTCCTCGCGGGCGGCGAGCTCGAAGACCCGCTCGGACGGCTTCGCCCAGCCCGGCGGGCCCGCCCGCCCGCACGCGGCCGCAGACATCGAAGACCAGCTTCTTGGCGTTTCCTGCCAGCGCTCACATGCCAAAAGACACCTCGCAGCGCGCGTGACGTGACCGAAGCGGCATAAGAAGAAGTCCTCCTTATCCTGGTCGCTTCGCTCTCGCTCGCCTTGTCCGGCGCCGCCGCGCGGCCGGCCACGGCTGCGCCCGGCCTCGTCTCCACGGTCTCAGACGGCCTCATGGCGCCTACTGACGCCGACGAGACGGAGCGCGTCGGATTCGTGCTGCAAAAACTTTCAATCTCGCCGACGCTTTATGAGGCACCGAATCGACCAGAGCCACAACACTCCTCGCCTGGCTCGGTCGGGTCAGCGCCCGGCTGCGATCGACTGGCCTCCAGTTCGAACCCAGGTGGGCCTGCTGCCGGCCGCGTTGGCTCGCCAGAGCTGCCGGGCTTGCCCAGCCTCGCTGGCGCCTTTGGCGAGGCTGGGGTGGCTGCTGGGCATGACGACATCGCAGCAATGACCTCCACGCTGCGGAACATCCGACTGGGGTTCGCACAGGAAGCCGCAGCGACCCGCGTTCAGCGGGCGATGCGCGCGCTCCTGCTGCGCAAGGGCACCATCATCATCACGATCCTCATCACCAAGATACAGGCCGCTGCGCGCGGCCTCAACACTCGCACTTCTCTGAACAACTTCTTCAAGGCCTGCCCGCCTAGCGGGCGCACCGCCGACCTCTTCCTCAGCCGCGTCTATGGCGGCCACGAGGGCGGGCGGCGGCGCGGCGGCGGCTACGTCGTCGATTTCATCTACTGTTTACGCTCCACAAGTCTTCCTCTCCCCTTCTCGGAAGCGTTGGCCCGTTTCCCTCTCGAAATCTACAACCCTTAAGGCACAGTGCGCGGCTGCGATGGAACCATCGGGTTCCGCCACCAACGCGAGGCCACCGGAGAGCAGCTGTGCCTGCCTCCGCCCTCGTCCCCCTCCTCCCCCCGTGAGTCGCCCTGCCCCAGCCGTCCAGAGCACGACCTCTGGCGGGCCAGCCAGTCACTTGATGACACCTCGATGGGCACCAAGAAGAAGGCAAAACAAGGCAAGAACTTCAAGGCCGCACAGGCGGCGGCGCAGAAGGCTGCGGCGGCGGCGGCCGCTGCAGAGGCGGGTTCTCAGGCGGCTGCTCAGGCCGCTCAGGCGGCCGCTCTCGGACGGTACAGGTTGGTCAACGCTTGGTACTACCCTCGCGGCGACTGGTACACCTTCTACTGGGACGGCAGCACGGCCGACAAGGTCGCAAGGCGCGCTACCTACCCGACGCTCGAGCACGACGACCACGACCCCGGCCCCCTCGCAGAGCGCATCAGGCGCGACAAGCGCGAGTTCTCCATTTTCGGCGCAGAGCGCATCAGGCGCGACAAGCGCGAGTTCTCCGGCCGCTCCTCCGACGACTCCTCCTCCGACCGCGACTCATGCGGCACCGGCTCCACTAGCGAGGCGAATGACATATTCGACACCCTCGAAGACCATCTCGGCTACGGTTCCGACTCCGGCTCCGGCTGGTAGTCGACAAGCTGCCGAGCGCAAATCACTCTGTGTGACACATTTCTTGTTGGCTTCTAAAAATCTCTCACACGTTGCCTCGGCGCCGCGAGAGCGTCCGGTCGACGTCGGCACCAAGCGCGCTGCCGCCGGGCGCCTCCGAACCGACAGGGGCGCCGCGGCAGTAGAGAGCACTCCACCCGCCATACCGTTTTTCTCGGGAGAGAGGGAGAAAAAGAAAAACAAGGCCAGGCACACCGCCAAGGGCGGGGGCGCTGCGAAGCTGAAGCAGCTGTTTAGTACCACCCTCGACGTGCCCCCTTCTTCTACAAATGTCCGACGACGCTACGCACGCCTTCATGGAGACCACGGGCGTGAATGACCCTGCGACCGCCGCCCGCGCGCTCGCCGCCGCGAACGGCGATCTGGACGCGGCTGTGGCGAGGCACTTTGACGAGGAGGCAGCCGCTGGCGCAGATGATGGCACCGAGGCGGCGGAGGAGGCGGCGGCGCCGCCGAGCCTTCCGATGCCGGAGTCCGATCTCGTCGGCTCCATCCTCAGCAATGCGCGGCAGGAGGGCTCCGAGCAAGGCTCGGAGTGGTCTCGGCCCGGACGGACGCTGGGTGGAGCAGACTCGGATGCGGCATCGACAGCATCTGCTCCGGTGGAGCCCACGCGCCGCAATGCCAAGAAGGTGCGCGTGCTATTCTGGGCGGACGGCTTCACCGTCGAGGACATCACGGCGGAGGAGGAGGCAGCCGCCGCGGCGGCCGCCGCCGAGCGCGCCGCGCCTCGCCGCACCGGCGTCGCCACTCTCGGCGACTCGCGGCGCGCGGCGGCGGCGGCGGCGGGGCCTCCTCCGGAGCTGCCCGAGCTGCGGCGGTACGAGGAGAACAAGGAGTTCATGGAGCACCTGAAGCGCGGCGTGCCTCCCGTCGAGCTGCGCGAGTTCGACCTGTCGAGCGGCGCCCCTCTGCCTCGGCCGGTCGATATCGCGCTGGGCGACATGCGACCCGCGCCCTTCCCGGCCGAGGCCGCGCGCCGGATGGCGCGCGCGCCGGAGGCGGTCGCGGCGGCGCCGCCTCGCATCGTCGCCTTCAGCGGAGAGGGGCGAGCGCTCGGGGCCGCGGCGCCTGCGGCCGAGGACGGCGCGGCGGCGGCGGCGGCGGCGGCGGCGGCGGCGTCGGAGGGCTCGCCGTTAGTCGTCGTGGAGGACTCGCCGACCACCACGCTGCAGGTGCGGCTGGCGGACGGGTCTCGCACGACGGTCCGCGCAAACAAGTCCCACACGCTGGAGGCGCTCCACGCGCACATCGCCAGCCTGACGCCCGGCGTCGCCTTCAGCCTGCGCGCCGGTGTCCCGCCTCCGCCGCTTGCGCGGACTGGGTGTGTGGACAGCGCCTCTTCACGCCACCCGCTGCCGTGGATAGGCTTCCCGCCGAAGAGGCTGGGCGAGCTGGGCAGGACGTTGGAGGAGGCGGGGCTGCTGAATGAGGCTATCACGCAGAGCAAGGAGTAGCTCGGGGGGCGTGGTCGGGTCTGTGGCCCGGGGCACTCCGCGGCGCCTGGTTCAGGGATGGGGTGGGGGGGGTTTTGGGGGGGGGGGGGGGAGCACGACGATGCGGGTTGCAGCCGGCCAGGGTCTCTGCCCCGTGTCCCGGAGCGAGTCCCTTTATTTCTGCACATCTGTGTGCGTGTGGGGAGCGAGAGGAGCGCCGTATATTTTTGTATGGACAATGAAGGAATGGGAGCTACAAAAAGTAATATATCTTTACTTCCAACACCCGGACGTTCCCAGGGTGATGGAAGGTTCGACGCACCCCCGGACTGGGCAGAGAAATCCCAGGAGCACGCTCACGATGGCAAACCGGTGTAGAGCGAAGTCGCCTCTATTTGTCACTCGCCATGCGCGTCCTTGGCTGACCCTCCAAAACTCCCTCCCCGCCGTTCGCGGCTCGGCTTGCGTATGCGGGTGGGAGCTTCGAGGACATGCAGGCGTCCCACCCCCTCCGGCCATCCCCCCGGCTCCCAAGCGCGCGGCCGCGACGCGCTGCGCACCCTCTTCCGCGCTGCACCCGCTCTTGGCACGGCCGTCGTCCGCCGAGATCACCTCCTCTTCGCGCCGCAGGTGCACAACCAAGGGCTGGCCACCTCCGTATCCATCATGATGAAGCCAATGGGCCAAAAAGGGAGAACGCTCCCCTCCCAGGTGGCCGGAGGGTACACCTCGGGTCGGCGTGCTGGGGGGGGCGCCGGTGCGCAAGCCCACTTTCCGGGCGACCCCGAGGGGGAGGAGGCCGGGCGAGTGGCAGCAATTCACTGTTAGTGTCCCGGGCCGCTGCGGTACCGTTTATACGGCCCCTCGTGACGTCTTTCCGATTTTGCATTGTGAGTCGTCCTCTGGCCAGCCGAGGGGCACCAGAACGGCATGTGTACTGGTGCTGGGTGCGGGTGCGGAACGGGCTTTTTTTAACTCGCAACCAAGCATACTATACAAGGACACCCTCGGGGGGGACACTCGGCGCATGTGCGACGCGTCAGGGTGGAGTTGGCGGTGGCCGAGCGTCGTCTCCAGATCGACTCGCAGCGCGGAGTCGAGGGGTGAAGCGCGTCGCGCTGCGACACTCGAGAGCCGGCTGGATGGCCGTAGGGCGCAGCCGACTTTGATGTCCTCGAAGGTCCGGTGCGCATTCGTCCTCTGAGACCCACGCGTACAGGAAAGGGGCGAGAACGAGGCCTTTTGAGGCGGACATTTTGGGGCGCGCATCCGCAAGCGCGTTCCACACAGTGCTTCCTGCGGGCTGTGTCCGCCCCGCCCCCACTTGCCCTGACTCTGCACAGGAGATAGCGTGCCCCGACAAACGGCGACACATGGCGGGGGACACTGTGCCGTACTCGCAGAATGTGGGTAAACGAAAGTACCGTATTCGGTACTATCAAGAAAGACACCGAAAAAAGTCGCCGCGGCAGTCCACGACGAGCCAGCCTGCTGCCGGCTCGCACGGCAGCCTCTTCCTATGGACCAGCCTCGACTTCCATACAGTCAACATTTTGTCGCTGCGTGCTCGTGGCGAGCTGTGGCGGCGGTCGAAGTTGGCCCAGATTCGGTGACGAGCGCCGGACGATAGTACCGCCTCTGTTCGCCCTGTGCATGTCAGGCCAGGCTGCAGCAGGGCACTACCAACGTGCTGCCCTGTTGCAGCCTGACTTTGCCCACTGTGCACAGTCGCCAGAGCACCACCACCGCCCGGCATCGTGTCACGGCGAGCTCCTTCTGCGCCCGCTCGCGAGGCTCTCGCGCTGGCACACTTTGGCCATCTGCTGCTCGCGTTCGGCGAGCTCTTCTCCGCACTCCTGCCACGGTGCCGTCACCACACACCTTCTGGCTGGCCTGAGCCGGGCGGGGTCGCCGGCGGGGGCAACGCGTCGACCTCTCTCTCTGGTGCACCACGGGCCGCAACGGCCTGCTAGCAGCGTGCGCGAGGAGGCAGTGTGCCGGCACAGTCGAGCCGGAGCATCGGGTTCTTGATGCTTCTGGGGTCAAGTTTGACCTTATGTGGCATAATATGCAACAATAATGCGATGCTATCTCCCGGCTTTTTGAGATATGATCTCTCAAAGTCGAATTTTCGTTTACTGGTGACCATAGCGGTACCGTCTGTCCGGTTTGCGTTTCTTCAAACGAAACACTTTAAGTCTCGACAATCACTAAGCTGCTTATGTGGCACCGCAGAGGCTCCCTTGGGGATGCCTGAGGCCACCCCAACCACTCACTAAGCCGTACGTAGACGAATTGCGCGCTACTTTTTTCGTTTACCCACATTATGTGCGAGTATGCCTAACTTTTGTGCTTTGTGTGGGTCGCGTTCCCCTGGAATGGGAGCTACAGATCTAGAGGCAAATGACAACAGTCGGTGTATAAACGGTGATATGATGTGAAGCTCCATATAGCCGACACACACGTGCGTGGAAACCCGTAGATAAGCGATATGCGACTGCGAGGCGGTTAAGTCTCGTTAGCGCTTCGTCTCCGAGAGAGATATCGTCTCTCTTTCACGCTATACAGTCACTGTCCACCCTCTCCGCTCTCAGTCTCACCAAAGTGGTTAACTTACCACACTTCTCCTGGAGACCTCTCAGCTCTTGTGATCCATCCGGGGCGCCTCAGGCGTCCAAACTTTGAGTGCTCGTACGCGTCTCTGCAAAGGGCTGCAGCGCAGCCTCGAGCGTCGCCACGTACTCCTCAAGCGACCGCAACCGCTCGCGCTGGCTCTCGATTGTCGCGTCCTGCCGCAGCCAATCGTCAACAAGGTGGCGGCGCGCGGCAGCGCTGCTCTCCAAAATTGCCTCTGGGTCCAAGTCACCGCTTTCTGCAGAGGAGGCGCCGCCGTCGTCGGCTCGTGGCGGCGAGGGGCAGACCCCCTCGAGCTCATCGTTTTGGCTGGTCACGCTGTCGGCCGCCTCCCTCAGCCTCGCCGAGAGCAGGGCTCTCCGAGACGGAATATCCTCCTCGGCGGCGAGCTGCTGCCTGGCGTTGGAGAGGGTAGAGGCCGCGTATGCGACGGTCGAGAAGCCAGATCGCGCCTACGAAGCGAGGCCAAATTGTGAGGTATAGCCTAGGGCATCGCCAACGAGAGTATCGAGATGAGGCGGCAGCCAGCGAGAGGCCCATTGATGTGAGGCTCTTTGCAGCGTCGCTCTGGATCGCCCGCGCAGCGAGGTCGATCCCGCTCAGCACTGCGCTCTGCAGCGTCTCGCTCTGCACGGCCCGCTCGACGATGTCCTTGCCCTTGTGCCCCAGCGCCTGGAGACGGGTGTATAAAGAGGTCAGGAGACCGCGTCACCGCCGTGGGCAGTGCTCCCAACCGCTAACGACCTGAACCGTCTCGCTTTGCAATGTTCGCTTGGCCAAGCTTTTCGAGACCTCGACCGCTTGGCTATTTAGCACCGCCTGCGGTCCACGCCGGCACACTGTTCGGCGTCCGCCAGGGCTGCGGTGTGCTTTTGTTGTCGTATACCTGCACAGCCGGGTGTGCCTCGGTCCTCTCTGCCAGCTGAATTACCCCACCCACAGCCTCATTGAGCCGCTCGCTCTCCACGGCTAGCCGCACGAGCGTAGAGCCTAAAGGCAGACCCGAAAGCGGGTGCAGGAGGCCTCTCTGCGCCCCAGCAGCAAAGCCGCGAGGTTTGCCGATGCGAACCGGCCGCTCGAGGGCCGCTGCTGCTGTCTCGGCTGCCCTCCCCACCGACTCATTCTCCGCAGTCGCCACCACTCCTTGCGCAGACGGTTTGGGAGATTGGGAGATGAGCAGTGCAGGGAGGGCGGAGTAGCTAGCGCAACTAGAGACACCTCGGACCGTAACGGCGAGGAGCTGTCCCGTTTCTTCCTTTTGCAACTGATCCGCCGCCAGCTCAAGCGACTTTGCAACTAGCTTCTGCACCGCATCAGACTGCACAACAGCCGCGCCCTGCCTCAGCCCCGACGCGGCGACGTCCCTACACAGCTGAGTCTCGAGCGCTCGCGCAATAATCTTGAGGGAGGAGGTCAGGATGGCCACAAGGTTCCGGCCAGCCTCGCCCTGCACCCAGGCACTCAGGGCGGTGGACGAGACATCGGAGGCGGCGTCGTCCACCGTCAGAGGCGACAAGGGCGCGCTATAAGCAGCCTCGGCGCTTTGACGTGCCTCCATGCGGACGTCCGTGTTGCGCGAGGACGCACGATTCTCTATGTCGTTTGCCGCTGTGAAGGGCCTCGAGGCCTCGCACCTCATCCTCTCATAGACTAACCAGGAAAATATTTTGTTCTCAAAAATCTTTTCTTCTAATCAATTTGGGTGGTATGTCTTAATTCAGTGTCACAATCCTTGGGTTGTCTGTTTTCTTTCTTTTTCTTTGAACAAACCCGGAGGTTTAGGTCTGTTGAGGTGCTGCGACTGCTGACAGGGTATTGACACCCGCAGGTGAGAGTCACGGGAGATAATACCGTTTGATTGTGCGCTGTCCGTCGTTCTGCGTACGTGTCTCGTCCGTCCCTGGCGGACCGTTTCAGCTCGCTGCCACATGACCCTGCTCAAGAGGCTCAGGCGGAGCAGGCCCACGGGAGCACGGCCACGGGCAGCCGGCGGCAGCAGCGCAAGCCCAATACCGCAGGCAACGGCAGCGGCTCTGACGGTCGAGCTCGGCTCGCTCAAGCTCAGTCGTGCCCTCCCCGCGGGGTTCCAGCGCGTGCAGATAGAGATTGACATGCCTGGGCCAGAGGAGCCGTTCGTCTCACCGCCCGCCTCTGCGATTGCCGGGCCAGGACCGGATGAGCCGGTCGTTGCCGACATTGGCCATGCACGGCGGTACCACGCCGCTGCAGGCTCACCGCTGGGCAATGCGCTGCGCGAGGCCATCGAGGCGCGCAATGGAGATGCAGATATCCTGTTCGCGCTGCTCGCCCTGGACGAGGCGAGTGGCGAGTCGCACGAGCTGGGCGCGGCTCGTTGCTCTCTGGATGAGCTGCTCGATCGGGGCGCCGACCTAAAAGACGAGCCCCTGCAAGTCATCGATGGGCGCGGCACAGAGATGGGGAGGCTGACATGTTCTGTGTCGGCCGTGAGCGTGCTCCGCTCCCTCGGCGAGGGGCATGCTGCAGCTCTCCCCGAGCCCGCCGCCGTGCCGCGTCCTAGCGCTACTGTGCTTGAAGCAACCCCACCGCCAGACCGAATCGCCGCCACCGCCCAGCCGCCGCCCGCGGCAAATCGAGACCTCGCGAAATCGTACGAGGACTTGAGAGAGAGGTCACATCGGCTTGTGGCTCTGGCGAGAAGCGTGCAGCCGGCCGGCACGGCACCCGCTGAGGCCAAGGCGGTCTTCCGCCGGCCGAGCGGTGGTGATGGTGTCGTGATTGCCGACGAAGGCGTGGTTGAGGAGGTGCGCGCTGCCCTGTCGGCGTGGGATGCAACCACCGTCGGAAGTATGGACGCGCTCGTCTCCAGCGGGAGGCTGACAACCTCGCAGCGGAAGCTGCTCGTGCACGCAACGGGAGAGGTTCGCCGCGCAAAACAGGCGTGGGGAACGCACAAGAAAGAGCTGCGGTCTGAGCGCGAGGAGATGGCCGACGAGATTCTCCACTTCACGCGCGAGTTGCACCGGCTCAAGGCTGACGGCAGGTTTGCCACCGCCGGCGGCGGCAACAAGGACGTGCTCGAGGCGCCAAAGGCTGACGACGTCCTCCGGTCTGGTGTTGAGGCGGTGGATGCGAGCAAGGACGTGCTCCGCTCAGGCGTGGCACGGCCGGCGCCCACGATAAAGAAGGAAGGCAAGGCAAAGGGGGGGGAGGGGAAGGGGGCGTTCCCCACGCCCCTGGCCAGGAGCGAGCTCGATGAGGCGCAGGAGAAGCTGGGTGCCTCGGAGCGGGCGGTGTCGGACCTAGCGGCCAAGTTGGCAGATGCAGAGGCCAGGGCTGAGCTCGAGAAAAAGCGGGCGGCGGAGGTGCTTGCGGAGGCAAAGCGAGCACGTGAGGAGGCTGAGGCGGCTGCTCGGCGGTCCGAGGCGGAAGTCGATGCTCGTCCTCAGCAAGAGCTCTCGACCCAGGCCAATTCTTATACTCAAGTTCGGGCTCGGGTGCGCTACCATCCGGACTCTTCACCAGTCTTCAGCGCCACCCCGCCGCCCCGGCGGCGGGAGCAGGCGCAGCAGGATCCCATGGTGGAGCCGCACAACCCCCCGACGCCCCAGCCTGGGATGGCCACAGCGAGTACATTCTTCCAGGCCGACGACTACAGCCAGCAGTCTGCACAGGGCACGCAGGCTGCACAGACCGCGCGTGGCGCACAAGCCACACAAGCTGCCACCCTCGATCCAGTCTCGACAGCGCGCTTCATGGCGGCGGCGACAGCCGCCCATCTGTTGCGGCAGCACTCTGTGGGCATCAAGGTCCAACCACGCTCAGCGCCACCACTCGACACTACAGCGGCGGTCGAGCATGCTAGAAGTGTGGCGCATCTGCTCGGCGGCTCGGTGCATACAGCCACGTCCTTCTCTCCTTTGCCTGCAGCCTCGCCCTACGCCGCCTCGGCTGCCTCCCCCTACGCCGCCTCAGCTACATATACGAGCTTTGGGTCGACCCTCCCCTTCGGTGCCTCCCTCGGCGCCTCCCTGCCCTTCGGTGCTGCCTCTCTTCCCCTCGGCGCCTCCCTGCCCCTCGGCGCCTCAGTTCCACTCGGCGCCTCGTTGCCCCTCGGCGCCTCGTTGCCCCTCGGCGCCTCACTTCCACTCGGCGCGTCTCTCCCTCGAGGGGCCGCCTGCTACTGATCATATGACTGTTGTCGCAAGCATCTCCAGTGGTGCAGGCGCGGCACAGGCGCAAAGTTAATGAAGATGCGACGCCAGACAGCACGGCTCTTACTTAGCACCCGCTATACCCAGTTCACTCGTGTGCGACGCCGCGGGGGGCCACGACTACTGACGTACCGTTGAACCACATAAGTGTGTGTGCAGCGAGAAGACGCGTGTGAATGAGTCGGCCAAAGCCCCAATGCGTGTAAACGCCACTAAGTGCACGTGCATTCATCATCCGGCTCTAACTTTCACCGTTCAGGCAATTCTGATTTCAGCATGGCCTGCAAAAGATGCGTGTGTACGTGTCGGTAGAGCCGTACAGAGGGGGGCGTAGACCGTAGACCGTAGTCTTACACAGAGGGTCTAGAGAGCATGAGCACGTAGAGAGCAGAGTCGACGGTGACGACGAGAGTATACCGGATCGCGTCGAATCCCCGCCTTTCTCCCCCGCCTCTCTGAGCTCTCTGTTCACCGGACAGAAGATTCCATACATGCATCAAAGCGCTCTCCCAACGGCTGGCTCTCGCCGCTGACCCGCGACACTGAGTATGTTACGCGCTATTCTCATCTGGCTGGGTCTGTGGCCCCGGCGAGCACACGAATTGGAGGAGCGACGGAGGACGCGCGATCACAAGAGGCTGGCAGCACGGCCACCACATCGGCCCTGCCTGCGAGCGGAACCTTCTCACCAGCCAAGGTCCCGGCCGAGGAATCGGTACAACCGCCGGTTGTGCGGCTCGAAGAATCGGCGCAACCTCTCCTGCACGCGCGGCTCGATGCGGTGGAGGTCCGAGCCGGTGGCCTCATCGTGCGCGTGACCGCTATCTGGCTCGCAGTCGCCGACCTTGAGCTGCGGCGCGAGGAGGTGCGCGTGCTCGCTCGTGTCGTGCCTGCGGACAAGCGAGCAGCCGAAGCCTTCAGCATTGGGAGGGGGGAGGGGCCGCTCCAGCTATGGAGCGTGGCTGCGTCTCGACGGACGCTTTGGACCTCTCCCGATGGTGATGGCGAGCTCCGACGCGTGCGTACTCCCGGGCAAGCTCGGGTGATCTCGTCTAATCTCGCCCGATGGTGATGTTCAGCTCGGACGCGTGCAGCACGTCCATCACGCCCGCCTTGCCGCGGACGCAGAAGCGCGACTGGTTGCCGATGGGCATGCGCGGCAGCTGCAGAAAGTCGAACGTCTCGTTCATGATGCGCTGCGACCCGCGCGTGAGCTCGTCCGTCACGATCACCTTCCAGTCCGCAGGTGGGTGTGAGCGCGCGTGTATGCCTCGCCTCGTCTCTCTCCCACCGGACCCCGGGGCTGACTCACCATGAGCGCACCGGCTCTCACCGACTCTACGCCTCGGGCGGTGTCTCGGGCGGTGCCTCGCCTTGATCTGCGAGCGCGGGAAGATGCGGGCCCACCTCTCGAGCTCAACTGCGTACGAGCCCGACTTTTGGAGCGCCGCCGGAGGCAGCATCATCATCTCCGAGCACGACCTGGCGGGGAGGTCGAGGGCGCGTCAGGGGCAAGCCCCGGCGGGAGGTGCCGGCCCGCCGCAGAGGGCAGCACCCGACGGCGTGCTTGGCGCGGCTCATCGCCCCTTTGAGCGGCTCCACCTGTCGGGCGGAGGGGAGCAGCGGTGGGGGAGCAGCGGTGGGGGAGCAGCGGTGGGGGAGCAGCGCTCGCGTGCCGCGCAGGGACGGGGCCCGTCCTCCGGTCTCTCGCGGGGGCGTGCGCGAGGGGGCGCGAGCACCGGCCAGGCGCCGCGCAGCTCGTCCGCGTACTCGAGGATGAGGTCGTGGTCCTGCGGTGTCAAGAGGACGCCGTGAGGGGTGTGAACACACGCGCCGGGGTCTCGGTGCGTGCGTGATGGCGCCATCGGCAGAGTGCGGCAGAGCGATGGCTATCGGCAGAGTGCTGCAGAGCGCCACCCGCGGCACTCTGCCGCGTGTCCCGCATCTCTGGGGGCGGGCGCGCTCCTGGGTGAGGAGGCAGCGCCCAAAGGCGGAGTAGTTGAGCGTCGCGGCGGGCGAGTGCAGGTGGCGCTGCTCGGCGGGAGGAAGCCGCTTGTCGTTCAGCGCCATGAGCGAGAAGCCGGACGGCGCGCTCTCGCCGCCCGTCAGCTGGCGGCAGCGGTCCCAGTAGGTGACGACGAGGGACCGCTGGATGATCGAGCTGAAGGTGAGCAGCTCCGCAACCTCCTTGAGCCTACGCGCGCCGCTCGCACGCGCACGCGGGTCGGGGGGTGCGGATCCGGGCAAGGGGGAGGGGTGTGTGCCGCGGCGGCTCCGCGCCGCTGCGCCATGTCGCCGTCGGAGCACTTGCCGTGCGCCCACTCGTAGCCCATCTTCCAGTGGGAGTAGGAGCGCTGCACCGGGTTCCTCACCAGCACAATCAGCTTCGCCTGCGCACCCGCACCCGACCGGGTGAGGAACCCTCTGTCTAGCCTCCCCCTCCCCGTTGCCCCCCCCCTGCCCCGATCCGCGGCGCGCCTCGGGCAGCCAACGCGCGAGCCAGAAGCGCGCGATCTTCGAGCGGAGGTAGACAGGCGACGCGTCGAACGTGACTGTGTCGGCTGCTGCCGTCTCGACCGCCCGCCGAAAGTTGACTGCGTACCTGGAGACGGCCCGAGGGCGGCCCGAGGACGGCTCGAGCAAGCGTCGCGACGGCCCCGGAGAAGAGGTGTGGGGAGATGTGGGGGGATGTGGGGAGATGAAGGGAGATGAAGAGCAAGCGGAGAAGAGGTGGCAGCGCTATATCTCCCCATATCTCCCCATATCTCCCCGGCGAAGAGGTGGCAGCGCGCCGCGAGAGCGTCGTCTGCGCGAAGCGGCCCTGCTGGAGGTAGCGAGGCTCCTGCACACGCAATGGGGCACACGTGTCGCCGGCGCCGCGGGTGCGCCGGGAGAGAGCTCGCGCGGCAGGGAGGCGTGGGGAGGCGCGGGGAGGCGCGGGGAGGCGTGGGGAGGCGTGGGGTCGCTCCTTTGTGCGCGGCGCGACGATGCGAGGGTGTTTGAGGAGGAGCTCGTACACGGTGGTGGTGCCGCACTTCATCTCTCCTGCTCACAGCTAGAGGTGTGAAGAGACGCTGTTCACACCATGGTGGTGCCGCACTTCATCTCTCCTGCTCATGCACGCATTGCCTGTTGACTGGGATGCGGGCTAGGTCTGGGCTGGATCTGGGCTGGATCTGGACTGGATCTGGGCTGGATCTGGGCTGGATCTGCGCTGGATCTGCGCTGAGATGGGCTAGATCTGGGCCGATCTGGGCTGGATCTGCGCTGAGATGGGCTAGATCTGGGCTGAGATGGGCTGTGTCTGCGCGGGGTCTCGGCTGTGTCTCGCCCAGGATGAAGAAGTGCGGCAGGCAGTACGAGAGAGCCGAGCCGTTGCCCGCCGTCTCGCTCCAGCACGGGTTGAGCCTGCCCTCGCGCGCGCCGCAGAAGCGGGGCGGCGAAGGAAGGTTCCGCTCCTGCTTGACGTACTTGCCGCAGCTGTCGTGCACCGCCTTCTGCTCCTTGTTGTCCAGCAGCGACCTGCGGGACGGCGGGCACCGTGTGGGGACCGCCTCCCCTCCCGCCTCCTCTGCAGCCGAGGGGCGCACAGGTTGAGGGGAGGACACAGCCGTCGAGAGAACCTGCGGCAATTAAAAGAAAATAAAAAAGACAACCTGCCGCACCGCCGTGTGCGACGCGGTGAGACGGGAGGGGCGGCGCTGCGGCGGCGGTGGAGGAGCGGGCCAGCGTCGGACGGCGGGGGGGGGCGGCTCGCTCCCGAGGCTGGAGGCGCGGGGCGGGCGGCAAGGAGGCGCGGAGAGTGTCTCGGAGGTGTCTCGGAGGTGTCTCGGAGGTGTCTCGGAAGTGTCCCGGAGGTGTCTCGGAAGTGTCCCGGAGGTGTCTCGGAAGTGTCTCGGAGGTGTCTCGGAAGTGTCTCGGAAGTGTCTCGGAAGTGTCTCGGAAGTGTCTCGGAAGTGTCTCGGAAGTGTCTCGGAAGTGTCCCGCACGGAAGGCACGTCTGCGGCTCCGCCTCCGGAGCCCGCGCAGCCTCGACTCGCTCGACGTGAGGAGACTCGAGGACCACCTGTGCACAGCGGCAGCGTGAGCCGACGCGGACTGCCGCCCCTCTCTCCGACAGTCCACGCCCGGAGCCACCGCGGCGTTGTCGTTGTCCGCCGCCGGGTCGCAGCCCGGGGTGCACGTCGACTGGCAGAGGTTCCTCCAGCGGCCGCAGGCCTTGACGAGATCGGCGGCGCAGTCGGTAAACTGGTCGTCGCTCTTGCAGCGCGGGGCCTCGTCGTCCTGTTTCGCCTGCGCCTGCCCTGCCTGCACTGCCTGCGGCCTCGCCGAGGGCGGCTGCGCGGCGACTGCTGGCGTAGGCTGGGAGCCTGCCACCTTTGGCGACAGCTGCGCCGCGGGAGGGACCGAGGCGACCGCAGGCACGGGACGTCGCTGGACCGGCGGCTCCGAATACATGTCGAGGTCAGAGCTAGCCCGTGGTTCCGCAGCCGGCGCGTGCGATTGCACCATGTACTGCATGCACAGATACCAGAGGCTGCACGCCACCGCCGCAATGATGAGCAGCCGCCTCGGCGGCCGGGCGGTAGATTTGGGCGGGTGGCGCGGGTGGTGAGCCTCAACGTCAGCCTCACGCCGCGGCGAAGGGTCGTGATGCCCTTTTCGGGAGAGCATGGTGGGCCAAGCAGCGCCGGTCGCGAAAAGAAATTTTGCAAGCAATTACATGGGGGCGTGCCGACGTGCCGCCGAGTGCATATCCTATGCGAGAGAGATCCCCTGTGCCCTGTGCCCAGCCCTCTCCGCGCGGCGATGCGCCCTCCCCCCTCGCTTTTGCAAAATCCTGCAAAGGTGGGGACGTGTCTGTCCTCGACCCAGCCCTAGCTTGGGATGTCCGTTACATTTATTTATTTATTTGGGGCGTGCCGATATGCAGCAAGGAGGGCAGAGCTGCGCCGAGCAGCGAGAGCAAGGGAGCGGCAGGCGGCGGCGCCGTCGCAGGACGAGGCAGAGGAGAGCGACGCGACAGAGGAAGAAGCGACAAGGGAGACCACGACGAGAAGGGGGCGACCGCGAGGTGGCACGAAGGTTGAAGCGAGAATCGGAGACGGACTGCGAAGAGAGATAGGAAGAGGCGGACGCCCAAGGGTGGGCGACGGCTAGCGCACCACACCCCTCTCCTTAAAATCCCTGTGTGGTGGCGGCGTGCCGTCCTCCCATCCCTCCCTTGGGTTGTCCGTTTTCTTTCTTTCTTTCTGGGCGTGCCGTCCTCCCATCCCTCCCTTGGGTTGTCCGTTTTCTTTCTTTCTTTCTTTTTTTGTTCGATTTTTCTGTTCTTGACCTTCCTACATCCAAAACCAAATCTACCGAGTGGGCTAATATTATCCTACAAACGTACTTGTGTGCTCACACCACGACTACACTGTGGGGGGTGCCCGAGCATGATGTATGTGCGCGTCTGTGCGTGTGTGGGACAGACGTTGTTGTCCTATGCGCGGGGCTTCCCGCGGGGACCGAAGACGTAACAGCAGCAGCAGCGTATGTCGACAGGAATTCGCACGACGACCGACCGGCTCCAAGAAATACAGCCCCCCCCCCCCCCTACCTGACGGCGCGCTGCTTGTTGCGCTCGCGCAGCTCGGAGTAGTACTCCTCGAAGCCGGGCGCGTCGATCCCCGGCGCGTGCGCGGCCACCTCGAAGTCGAGCATCGCCTCGAGGCGGAGCCAGAGCCACTCCGCCTCCGACTCGACGGCGACTCTCTCGTAGGTCGAGTTGAAGATTGCGATGAGCAGGTTGAGCATCACAAAGACGGAGAGGGAGGTGTACACCCAGAAGAAGGCGTACGCGGTGTTGAGCAGCACGGGCGCGTCGGCCAGCGAGCCGAAAAAGTCAAAGTCGATGTTGCCGAGCAGCCAGAGCAGCTGCGTCTCGACGATGGCGCCGTAGCTCGGCGAGGCCGCGTCTGCGGAGAAGAGGACGTAGAAGCCGTTCGCAAAGCCTACGGGGACGTGTCCGGGCCGCGTGCAGGACGCGGCGAGGTGGCGAGGGGAGTGCACGCCCGTCTGCAGAGGCCGAGGAGGATGAAGGCGTACAGGCCGACAAAGGAGAGGATGTCGCCAAACATCTCGACGATGATGACGAGGAGCGGCCCGAGCGAGCGGTTGAGCGCGACGTACTGCAGCGCGCGCAGCGCGAGGCTCAGCTGCAGCGCCGCCGCCACCGGCGCCACGGCGGGCCGCAAGGAGGGGTCGAGGGCCCCCGCGGCGACGCAAGCCTTGACGGCGGGCACGAGCGGCACCAGCAGCAGGTGGACGCTGTCGAGCGCGTTGAGCAAGCGGCGGACGCGCCACTCGGCGAGCACGCGCGGCGAGCGCAAGTAGTTTGCGGGGCCGAGTGCGGCGACCTCGCGGCTCGCCTGCAGCACGAAGGCGCCCCAGCTGCCCACGCACGCCGCGCACCTGCCCGCGTCGAGCCGGGGTGAGGGGAGGGGCGCGGCTGTCGGGGGGGGGGGCGCGCGCGTCCGGCGGGCGGCGAGAAGCATCGCGCCCTGCTCCAACTAGCGCACTACTCCAACTCCAACTCCGCCCTACTCCAACTAGCGGCGCGCACGAGGCGGCGAAGGCGGCGGAGCCGACGTCCGAGACGGTGGCGCCGAGCAGGCCGCCCACCATGAGCATGTACTGCGCGAAGCGGCGCTGGTAGATTGCAGCCGCGAAGTAGTCCCACTTCCGCTCGAGCACGAAGCGCATCACCGGCGTGGTGAGCAGCTCGCGCCGGTCGTGCCGCACGATGAGCTGCTCCACCGTCGTCGAGCGGTTGGCGCCTGCAGGGAGGCGCAGGGGCGGCTCAGGGACGGCTCGGCCGCGATGAGCTGGCCGACGGTCCGAGCGGCGAGCGCCGTCGAAGATGGGCATCGCGCGCCCGTCGTGCGTGCACGGCAGCACGATCCCGTCGAAGGAGAACCAGAAGAGGTCGTTCCCCCACCTGGTTGGTCCGAGGTGACCCGAGGTGACCCCGAGATGGCCGTTGTGTCCCCCCGCCCCGCCCCCCGCGCGCACCAGCGGTACTCGAAGCGCGACTTTGCGTCGAGGAGCCGCGCCTGGAGGGCATCGCTAGGGAGAGGTCAAGGACACGGACAGGTCACGGACAGGTCACAAGCAGAGTGTGCACGCTCTCGGCCAGTCTCGGCTAGTCTCGGCTAGTCTCGGCTGGTCTCTCGGGGAGGCGCACCGCCAGCGCGGGCAGCGTCTCGATGCCCATCGAGAGCGCCGAGCGGCCCGCGCCGTTCTTGCAGTAGCCGTCGACGCCGAGCTCGAGAAGCAGCTCCGCCTGCATCTCGGTCAATCTCGGTGCATCCCGATCGATCTCGGTGCATCTCGGCCAATCTCCCGACGCCGAGCTCGAGCAGCTCCGCCGAGAGGTTGCGCGGGCGACTCTATCTCGGCTGAGAGTCTCGGCCGAATCTCGACTACTCTCGCCGTCTGCAGGTTGCGCGACGACTCCATCAGCGTGTGCAGCGGGTTGGAGCCGTCGCCGTCCGTGGCGAGGAAGACGGAAGGGCGCACGCGCTGCCGCATGAAGGTGAGGACGTTTGCGTTGCCGTTGAAGGCGGCGGCGTGCGCGTACGTGAAGCTCGGCGACGGCTGCAGCAGCCACTCCACCTTTTGCTCGAGGTTGAGTCCGAAGCGGTGCAGCAGCGAGAGGGCCTCGACGTCGCCCTCGAAGCAGGCGTGCGCGCCGGGGCTCGACCAGTACCCCCGCGGGTAGTTTGCGTCGGCGGCGCCGCTCGAGAGGGCCTCCTGCTCGAGACGAACACGGATTAGTAGAGGAAGCATGAGCCGGCGGCGCCGCTCGAGAGCGGGCGCGCCTCGATGAGGGCGAGCCGCTCCGCCTGCGACACGCCGGGCAGCAGCCGCACCAGGTTTCCCTCGTCGGGCCGCACCTAGCCGCGGCGCGAGCGGTGATTGGACGCCCGCACGGAGTCTGCCTGCCCTCTGCTGCGCCGCCGCACCAGCAGCGCGAGCGGCGAGCGGCAGCGCCCCTCGAGCTGCATCACGCGGGAGCCGTCCGCAGCGTACGGCGCGGGAGGGAAGACAAAGTCCCACGACTCACCGGACGCGAGGCTGCGCCGGATCGCGGGCACGTTCCCCTTCATCAGCGCCGTGAGAAGCGCGGCCTGTTGCTCGGAGAGGTAGTCGGACCCGAGCGAGCCCGCGTACTTTGCGCGGAAGCGACGGAAGAGCAGGTCCTGCACGGCGTACACGTCCTGCGCCGACTGAAACGCGGTCGTCCGCCGCATGACGTTGGCGATCTGCTGCTCCAGGCGCACAACCTCCGCGTCTGCGGCCGTGCTCGCTGCGGCGGAGGCGGCGGAGGCGGCTGTGGCAGCCTCAGAAGCGACATGCTGGCGTCCGCCGTCAGCGTGCTCCTCGCTAGCTGCAGACGAGGCGCGATGGTCGTGCCTCCGTGTAAAGGTACGCAGGATCCTATCGCGCTTGCGCCTGCGACGCTTCTCCGATGACATCAGCGGCGTGGCGCGAACGTGCCGCCGAAGATCGCCGTGGCGCTCGACAGACAGCGAGAGTGCCGCCGCTGTTCCTGCGTGCAGCCAGAGCACGCACCCGGGCGCCAAGAGCATCTGCCGGGGTGGCGATGTAGCGACTGCTCAGTTAGGGCTCTAGCGGCTACCGATCGGCTGATCTCGGCGGTGGGTGGAGGTAATAACTATTCGTTTATCGTCGTGGTTGATAACTAGGCAAGACTGGACGAATTTCTTTTTTAATTTTTTCACTTCTCTACGACGCTCGGCGCCCCGACCGACGAGTGTCTCAGCTTCACGGCTCGGCGCCGACGATACGGCGAGCGAAAATGCTCGTCGCGCTGGGCAACATGCTGCTGGCAGTCTCCACCGGCGCCTTTGCCGGGACGGTCGCCACGTACAGCGTGCTGCACCACGTGTGGACACGTGCGCGGTTACAGGGCGACGCAGCCGGGGCCTACACGCAGAGACTAGAGCGTATGCGGGGAGTGCGTGCACCCAAGCCGACCGTGGTGCGCGCCCCCCGCCCTTCCGGCCCGCTCCCGCGCCTCTCACCAGCGCCTCACCCAGCGGCCCCTCCCGGCGCAGCCCGTGAAGTCGCCGGAACAGAACGCCCTCGAGCTGCAGATTCGACGAGAAGCGCAGCTCTTCTTTGAGGAGAAGCTGTTCGGCCTGTACGACTTTGCGCGCCGCTACGTATGAACGTTCCGCGTGGATGCGCAAGTTGTCCGCGCGGCCCAATTCTCGTCTAGCTCGGTCGGCTCTCCACGTACTACAGTGAGCAGTAGAGTGTGTGTGCAGCTGGTGGTCCACTCTTTTCAGTGGGCACTCAGCTCAGGAGCGTCGCGCCGGTTTTGCGCTAGTACCTGTGCGTCAAAATATCTCATCTGTTCATGGCCAACCGAAAACCGTCCGCCTGCGCGCTCCAGGCGCCCCGCCGTGGGTTGGCCAAAGTACAGGTTTCGATCCGGGCCACCGCAAATTTTGATCAGCAAATTTCGAGGGGCGGCCGCAAATTTTGAGGTACATTTTAATTGTCAAAACGTGTCCGTCTTGGCACAGGATAGAGCATATAGGCGGCGAAAACCTGGTTTGTGGAGCTCCCACAGATTAGTGATTACCTAGAGAGCACGGCATTCGGGGCCATGATGTCGGTTCCCCACCAGACTTTTTTGTAGTGGAGAGAATTAGGAATCTTTCTGCTGTAACCGACACTGTGATATCGCTCTCCTTTACTCAGACCAGATGGTGAGTCTTAACTGTAAATTACCGTCGGAAAGCTGTCAGAACGGCTGTCAGAACACTGTCAGAACGCTGTCAGAACGCTGTCAGAACGGCCAGGTCTCTGTCAGAACATCTGTGGGAGCTCCACAAACCAGGTTCGAACACCCAGGTGCGCAGGGACATCGCGACTCTGCCCGCTCGCTCGACCCTTTTGCCGCGAGAGGGCGCCGGCCGCGTGTAAGAGGTGGCTGGCGCCCCGAGGCGGCATTTGGTGGCGTGGGGAGTGCGGAGAACGCTACTGGCGGCGCGACAGGGCCTCTCTCGGTTGCGTGTGCCGCCCATCGCACGCGGGTGCGCAGACATCGCGACTCTGCCCGCTCGCTCGACCCTTTTGCCGCGAGAGGGCGCCGGCCGCGTGTAAGAGGTGGCTGGCGGCCTGGCGCCCTGAGGCGGCATTTGGTGGGGTCAGCGTGCGGTGCTGAGTCTTACTCGTCGGCGCTGGGGCCAGATCCCAGCGCAGAACCCTGCAACGCTGGAGCATATACAGACACAACAAGACTAACCCTGACCCTAACCCTAACCCTAACCCTAACCCTAACCCTCTAACCCTAATAACCCTAACCTAACCCACCCCCCAACTCTCCACACCGCAAATTTGAGAGATCTTGATGAAAATCAGGCCCTACCCCGACTGCAAATTTCTTCAAAATTTTCGCAGGCGCTCCGCGCCTGCAGATTTTGAAATAAATTCGACAAAATTGGTACCTGGCCCAAGCCGTGGGGGGGTCAGGGCTCAGGGGGGGACGGCTCGTATTGGTCATAAAAATAAAACGGCGGTTTGGGATTTTGCATCTCGGCTGCATCCAATGGCGGATGAGCGGCCTCGAATCACGGTCACGTCGGCGAGGAGACAGCGACGGCGTCTCGTTGGGGTGGAGCGCAGGGGCCGGGGCGAGGCGCGAGGGCGTCGACCGACGGGCGGCGCACCAGGAGGTCACGGAACGACGGGTCGAGCCCCTCCGCCAATCGAGGCGGCGGTCGAGAAGGTGAGCGGCTGACGTCCTCGCGGGCGGGCGGAGTATCGCAATATCGGCTGCAATATGAATATATCTGGCCGCGCGGGGGCTCGTCGATTGCGTCCTTTTTGTGGCACGTGCGCGGAGACGCGGAGAGCGTGGAGTGCGTATATGCTGTCCTCCTTCGAGGGGGGCCGTGGGAGGATTTTTCGGAAGGAGAGGTGACCCCAGGTGTCAGATCTCACTCACGTGTTCAAGCGCTGAATGGTTGAGAGGAGACTGGGAGCTCGAATGGAGAGTGTGAGCGCCCCTCGCGGTGAGGCAGGTGAGCTCTCCGTCAAAGCGCGAGAGGCTAGGCGCGAGAGGCGACCCTCAAATCGAGGCCTGGCCGCACATCGCGCGCACGCACCATCATACGGCTTCAGATCTTCCAAGGCTCGTCTCACTTGGCCTCAAGCTTCGCAATTCGGGCGAGCGCCATCTCCAGCTGCGCCTCCAACGCCTTCACCTATGGACGATCGTGCACTCGTCAGGCCTGCTCGATGCACGTCCGAGCGAGTTCTATTCTCTTCCTCACCCTCCCGCTGAGCGCCGCGAGGCTCGGCGCGCCACCGTCCGCGCCTCCGCCGACGGCCTCGTTGGCCTCGTCCTGCTCCGCACCGGGCTCGGACTCGAGGCTTGCGCGGTCCGACTTTAGCGCGCTGTCGAGAGACATCGAGCCGCCCCTCCGCTCGAACCCAAGGCTCACGCGGCGCTCCACAACGCTGGGGACGTCTCCTCCGAGGTCGCTCTCGGCCTGTGGTGGCTTGAGCGTGAAACCCCCGCCTGCCTTTGGATCGGCAGGGCCCTTCCCGCCCACCGAGCCATCGCCGTTGATGTCCAAGCCCGTCGCGGTCTCGATCTTGTTCACCACCCCGGAAAAGAAGCTGCCGCCCCCCGTCTTGGCGGCAGGAGCAGTCTTGGCGGGTCCCAGCTGGACGAGCTTATCGAGAGGGTTGGGGTTGGCGCCGCGTGCGGAGCTAATGGCAAGGGCGATGGCCTGGTCACCCACGCTCCCGCGTTCACCAAGGCTGCCGCGGTCGCCCATGCTGCCCAAGCTGCCACGCTCGCCGACGCTATTGCGCTTCTCCTTTCTTGCCTTGCTGCCAGCCCCGCCATCTCGCTATGGGCAGAGGTGGCTGGCAGTCAGCCACTATTCGCAGGTACGTGGCACGATCCACAAGCGCGTGCCTCTGCAGCTGCAAAGACCGCCTTGACCTCGGCGGACTTGCTATGGCTCTGCGCAGCGACCTGCAGCCAGGGGATGCTCCTCAGTGCGCACTCCGATGATTGCAATCGGGACAGGGCGCAGTGGAGGGGAAGGGCAAAGGGGGGGGGAGAGAGAGCAGATGGTGAGCTCTGCGCAGTGAAGGGCAGGTCTGTGTCGCATGCACCCCGGGCGTCTCGCCAAAATTGTTTTTGGCTTGCAAAGCCTCTGGGAACTCGGCGATGAGAGCATCGACGACTGCCTTTGACTTGCTGTAGTGAGCTGCATAGTGCAGCGGGTACATTCCATTCGGCTTCTTGACGCGCGCACGCTCCGCTGTAATGAGCTCCAGCACCTCCGACTCGGGACGCTCATACGTGTCCGGCTTGCACAGCGTCTTGTCCATTTTCGCGCTCGTTTAGGCGTCTCGGACGCACGGCTCGCCCGTCCTCAAGACTGCCACCGGGTTACAACTGGTAGGGGTTATCTGTGATCTGTGATCTGTAAGGGTCCGCCCGCAGGCGCATTTTGTATACCGAGGCGGTGCCCGGTGCCGAGCGCAGGCAGAGCCCACAGGTCGGACCTTAAGACAGCATTGTAGATCCCTGGGCGAGGGTGGTGGAGGGAGAGAGAGATTTTTAGCAATACCAAACAAATCTAACACTCACACGTCATTTGGGGCCTGGAGCCCTGTTCACGCGCGCGCGAGACGTGCAGATTGTTGTTTGGAGGGAGGGGTCCGGCGGCAGAGCAACCACCTCCTCCCGGCGTGGCGGCGTGCCGGGAGGCAGGATGTCATCCCCCGTGATCTCCGCAATATGGGACTGGCACCCCACTGTGTTGCTCCAGCGTGCCGTCATCTCCTGTCCGCTGTCCCCTCTTCCCACCCTCGTCGTCCTCTCTCCTGCCCCGTCATTCATCCTCTGCCTCATCGCTCTCCGCTCGCTCGCTCGGCCTCCTTCTTTCTGCGACCACGCCGACCGACGCCTTCCGAGCGAGCCCTTCGCCTTCCTTGCTCTCGTGGTTTTTTTCACTTTGTCGCCACTCCGCTCCTCGCAGCGTATCCCGGAGCGGGGGCGGTTCCCAGCGATTTCAGAGGATAGAGCTGAGTCATCACCGCAGCGAAAAAGAAAGTAAATACTAGGGTTGCGGACGTGTGCGACCGCCGGCGCGGCGGGCTCGCCGATTTGAGAAGGGCGCCGTCGACCGAGCATTTTTACTACTTGTAGTAGGTACTTGTAGTGCAGTGAAGAAAAGAAAGGGGAGGACGCGCGCGGTTTTTTCTCTGGAGCGCTGCTTGTGCTTGAGCACGGCGCTGCACTCCGCTCGCAGCCCACACCCCAGGCTCTCCATCGTCGCCGCGCTTTACCTTGTCGAAGAGATGTCCGACGACGAGGATCTGGCTCCCAACTGGCGCGCCGCAAAAGCGGCAGACGGCAAGGAGTACTACTTCAACGAGGTGACCGGCGAGACGTCGTGGACAAAGCCCGCGCCGCCGCCGCAGCGGGTCGAGCCGCTCGTGTCCGATGGCGCCGATGTGGGCGCTGGGAACGGCGTCGGAAACGACGTTGCCGCGCGCGACATGCCGGGCAGCCTCGCGCCGCGCGCGGGCG